CAACACTAAAGGACGGGCTCGTACTCGTATAACCGCTCTCATAAATGTAAAATGCAAACCTTTAAAAAAAAAAAAAAAAAGGTTAAATTTGTTGTACGGATGTGTAGGAGCGAAAATTAGTGTGTGCCTCAAAACTCGCTTTGATGTCTCCCCAAGCAGACGCCACCTAAAGACGTCTGGTATCTGCAGTAAGAGACACCAGACACCACCGTCGTGTTTAGCGAGTGTTTATCTGCACAGTTGCGACAGTGGGGTGTGATGAAGTTGCGCTGCCGGAAACAGCGCAATGCTTGTGGTTAGACCGAGAAGATTACCGCGATCTAAAAATTGTAAGTAATAAAACAAAATAAAATTACGGAGTTATATGATTATAATGCAATTAAATGCAAAGGTGCAAGCGAGCTGGACAAGAATGATGAAAATAATCCCTGGAGAAGGGGAACCTAGCTGTGTTTGGAGGTTTGTGTTTGTCCTTTGTCCCTCTTGTTCCCCTTCTCCAGGGATTATTTTCATCACGAAGTTATATATAATGTTATACGAAGCTCATAGTTAAGTTTTTTTTTTTTTTTTATATGGGTATGATGACAGCCTCAGTGCAATAAATATAAATATCATGACGTTAGGGCATTGTATTTTAGTAGAAACTGCCTTTGGCTAAAACTAACGCATAACATGTGCTCGAGGAATATAAAAAAGAACAAAAGTAGACGTTCGTAGAGATGGTGTTTAATTTTGCCTGTTGGAAAAGCAATGCAAGATTAGAAACTCCAACTGTTGAAATACCTCCAAATACTCGGGGTTTTTTTTTTTTTTTTTTTGGGGGGGGGGGGGGGGGGGGGGGTTTGGGGTACAGTTGCATAGTATTATCTGCTACCCACTAATATTGTTCCAACGCTTTCGAACGATTCTAATATTTTAGGGTTTGTTAGACGAACGCGATTCTTGATTCTCTTCCTAGATTATAAAAAAAAAACTTACATTTCGTCTTTTCCTAGTGGTCGAGTTCATTGAAACGTTTATCATTGTTTGCGCATACTGTATTTCTTGAAGAATCACCGTGTATTTTGACAAATATCTCGCTATAAATCCCCCAAATGCTGTAAGACACGTACGCTGAATAAATACATAACCACATTCTTAACGTGCTTGACCTCTCTTTGACCCGTAACTTGCGCGCTCGCCGCAGCGTCAATTTAGCTGCAACGTTAGTTTCTCTAACCGACGCATTTCGAGAAAGCGATATTACGGGGAGAGAAAGACAAGAAAGGCACTTCACGTACAGAACGGGTTCCTCTAATGTTTGCCATGGGCGTGCAGCGTTAGATTTCCATACTGAGCCGTGGCGGTTTCCCAGACGACCAAGGTTAAGGTCGCAGCGTAGACGTTTCGAATTGTTGCACATAGGCGAGGAACGCGCTACACCAAGAAGGCAGCTGGTGCCAACGTCATACCGGGCTGCGGGTACGCAACCCGGCCCTGCATGCCCCGTCATTTCCCGACGAAACGATCCTTTTCGCAATTTCGCAATATTGCTGAAATGCGCGACGCGTATTGACGCGGTGCCGTACCTCTGGATTTTGTTTTTATCCGTGGATTCTGTACGGAAGTTCATTTGAAACTTTTTCGTGTGTGCAACCAAAGATCTTAATGCGACCATTATAAGCAAAATAACTATCCAAAAGGTACTGCGAAAGTCCCCAAATGATCAGACTTATACATATGTCAAACACAATAAAGCATTACGGTCACTGACAAGATCAGAACGGCAAAGGAGGTCCTTCAGTTGCTCCTCCCCCTCCCTCTCCCCTCCCCCTCCCCCTCCACCTCTACCTTCAGCGCGAGCTCGCGCACCCCAAGCACGACTCGAAAAAGACGCCCTGCTCTTCTCAGACCCCGTCAGTGACTAGAGTCAAAATCATACTTCCATTGTTACTGTCGATCTAATTGTTGATCGAAACCGGTGAAATAAAATGAGGATACCGTGTTCCACATTAATTCGAATCGTTCTAGCGTGGTGCTACGGAACAAGACTGACGATAATTATGAATGAACGTCCAAGGCCCGCATGACTCCTCCCACTATTTCGCCGATGTTCCAAGCGCAGCACGAGTGAAGAAACACAGGCTCCTATGGACGCTCTGCAGCAGCTGTGCATGCGCGCCGCCATAACCGACCTTCAATTTTTGTTTCTTGCTATTACGTTTACTCCACTTCATCGTGAACACAGCCGGGACCGGTCATTGCCATTTTAGATTCTACCCTGTCCTTCTCCCCAGCAGTGGACTTTGTGGAGTATCGTCAACACCCGCTTCACAGGCTTGGCTTCTGGATAAGACAAGAGAAGATCAGCAATGGCGGCTGTAATCCGGCGCGTGTGCAAAGCGTCTAAATGTATAGAATAATCAAAAGCGATAGCAATTAGGATATGTTTTTCATTTTGAAACGATTGACTGTTATTGCGGTCTTACTGGTACTTCACGTGGATACTGAGAACGCCTTATATGATGCATTACATGATGAAATAACTCGCCGGAAGGGGTTGCGACTAGTATAAATACTGTGGCGTTTAATTAGAAGAAAACTATACGAGCGACTGTACAGATAATAATATTGTATGGGCTTTATGGTGTTTTCCCTATCATTCATCGAGATTTATTTCTAAGTAACTTTCAAAATTTATATTTTGTATAATCTGTATCAGATTGATTTTATTTCTGGTACTGTGCCGCCACGACAGACACTGATGTCACGTTTATATATTTTCTTATGATTCCACCGTGTACTTCAACCCAGCCCCCTTATGTAATGCGTCCTCAAAGGCTCCTTACAAGTAAGTCAACGAAATTTTCACGGCATGCGAGTTCAAACACCGCCCGGTGACGTCCACGCCAGCGTGAACTTCTCGCCAGGTGACACACGACGTAGCAATTCCCATAAAACATGACGCACCCGCCAAACACGCGGTTCAATGTAATCCGACATCCCGGTGTCTCTTTCCGTCGAAACCGAGAGCGGCACCAAAACGGTTTCAACTTCTCCTCATTGAGAGGAACGTCCAGTCAACTGGATGACGCCGAAGCGCGAAATGTGAAAAAGTTTCATCACGAAGCAACCATGGTAAGAAGTGACCCACTGAAATTGGGCCGATTTCGCACATTTCTGGAACACTGTGCCACGTATATGCTTAAAATAAGCTTTTAGTTCACAAATGGTATAATAAACGAAGATTACTTTTAGTATGCACACCTTAGTTGCCAAAGTGGGTCAACGCGTAGACCGCACCGCTAAAATACAAAGTACAGTAAAAGTAGATTAAAAGCAAACCTCAGATAGTGGAAGCATATGTGAAATATAATTCAAGTATACAATTTGAATTTTAAATGTTTAAAAAATATATTCTCCTTTTTTCGTGCTACTTTGAGTGAAAGTGAGAAACGCCTTGAGATCGCAACCGCGCTTTTGAGTTAAAGATTGTTTGTCATTTATGTCAAACTTATTATTGAAAGCGTGCTGAAAACATCACCACAGTTTAGTGTATAGACGCGAAGGAAGCCGAGTTTGTAATGATAGTACTTTTCAGAATGGAGACAGATATATTGAAGAAGTACCAGGGTGCAGTCTCGCTATATTAATTCTGTATGCATACAAATATACAGCCGTACTGTTCCACGGCTTCTATTTTCCACGGCTTCTATTTTACCCAGGTTTCTGATGTCAAGAAGTAGGACGCTGGGTTGTTGCATTTAGGTTTCGACAGCGAGTTGCCTGTTGCAAGTTTATAGGCAACGAAGCCTTCTCATAGAAAATATGCCAGCACGCTAGTGAAAGAAAATCGTCAACATATAAACCCGGCTCTATATTTACGGCGATTATGCATCTTATTTCCGCAATTGTCCCATTGCGCTTCAAAACAACGACTGGTTATTCTTAACAGAACTTGGTGTCACTGACAACTTGACAAGGTCCGTTAAAACAAGCGAACTCGACTCGGGTGGAAGTTGTCAGAAGGAGCGGACGAGAGAACGAGGAAGTATACCATCCTGTTCCCCAGCTAACGGTCGTCGCCGTTGCAGACAGGGTTAAAGAGCAATTGAACTGGCAGCATGACTAGGCGTCTTCCGCCAAACATACGCGGCAAACAGAACCCGCAAGGCCAGACGGGGCTCAAGCGGTGTGTACATTGACACGCTCAGCCTCGAACGGCCTGGTCTGTTGATTTGGTTTAACTGGAGACTTGAAGGACTCCAAGAAGGGTCAGTGCAACATTCACGTCATGAACACCGTCTGAGGCACTGCCCTGAAGAACAATGTTCTGTAAAACAAAATAATCTAACTCATAATTTTTTGTTTGTTTTTTTAATTATGAATACACGAAGTCTTTCAACCTCTTTTAAACTATCTTTTCTTTTGTTTTTTTATTTTTTTATTTTTTGTATTTGGACACGGAATGAAGCGGTCAAGGTCTCTGAATAGCAATACTCTAAATTGCATATATACAATACTCCAAAATATATAAATAAAGTACCGTGTCTTATTTACACTCGTGGGCCGGAAGTAACTTAATAGACGCTCGAATCACAAGATGACCCCCTTATTCATTCCGTTTGCCATCTGAACGCCAATATGCAAATAATCGCCTGCAGCCTGCGTGATCGCTAACCAAAACTTGCTTGCAAAAAAAAAAAAAAAAAAATGCTTACATAGTCAATGAGAACGTGAGAAGGACCGGGAAAGCCTTTCAGTGGTCCCGCCGCTAGCGCGACTTTCTTACTTTCGAGATAACGTTTCGGTGTCTCGCGATCATCGAGCGTGCAGCCGAAGCACGACGGAAAGCAACCAGCAAGTGCAGGAGGAGCCCGCGGGCTCCGAAAGAGACGTCCCATCCTTCTCACCCCGCCATTGACTTATACGGAGTCACTTTGACAAGCGCGTGACAAGGCAAACCGCGCTGTTTCATCCCGCGATCGGCAACATGAGACGGTACAACCCGCCTGACTCACAGAGTATGGAAACGTTCCTAGCCGCATCCGAGCTTGGTCGACATGGACGCACCACCGTCAGCACCAACAAGGCCGCACACAAACCAGACCCGCACAATTATTTCTTTCACGGCACCACTAGCGCAGCATGCCAGTACCGTTCACCAGGACGACGCGACACCGACGACACCACCAAGCGCGTGCGAACACAGACGTCGTCTGCTGCCATCTTGGCGGCGCGGCCGGCTGGCGGGAACGTCGGCAATTGAAACAGCGCTCTTCCCCTCCGTTGGCTGTGCGCGGCGCTGGATGGCATCCGGTTACCAAGGCGGTTTCGGTCGGTTCATTCTCACGCCAAGGGGGGGGACGGGGTACGGGATGTCGGTGCCGCTGCGTTCGTTTTCGTCCGACAGTGAAGCTGTTGTCGGTGTCGACGTCGATGTTCAAGAGGTTGTAGCCCCGCGGACGGCAGTGTAGCACGCTGTGTCAGTAAGGTTTGTTTCAGCCCTCCTGTTTTGGTTTTCGCAAAGGCGTCTGGTTACCACTGAGGTTGTGGATTGGATTCCTTCATGTAGCTAAGCCGATTGTGAGAACTGTAGTGGCCCTTGGCAGTTCTTTTTTTTTTCCTTCTTGGTAGTTTTAAGTTTTTGTGTTACAGAGTTAAAATCTATACTCTAGGAGTGCGCAAATTCTGTATCGAAACAAATGGCGTGGGAGAGGGGGGGGGGGGGGGGGTCATATCGATCTTAGCTTCTACTCTGCAGAGAGCCGGTATATCGCGGGGGCGGGGTTTCCCAAGCACTGCTAAGGCTGCGAGTGACTCAGCGCTTTTCATCTTGAAACATTATTCGCACACCCAAACTACACTCCTTGTCGGGACCGCAGCCCATGCCACCATACGATGAAGTTAAGCAGCGACAAAAATGCATCGTCATGGCGCTCACGCTCGCCGTCTGCGGTCGAACTATACGGGGTGAAACGGAGTATGGTAGCGCTGCGTCGTTTATTGCCTTCCTAAATCAAAGCAAAAGACTATGCCATCCCCGGTCACTCTGCGGTGAGAAAGCTAATAAATGAATAAATAAATGTTATATTGTCCCGTCTTCAACACAGTACACAGACCGGCCCGCAAAAGCATGGGTATGCTTGTCGGCGGGACTTGGCGTCCAACAGGTTGCTTACATAGTTATAACAAAGCATGCATTTTTTGCATGCAACTAAACAAAACCAAACAAAGAGAATTATACCCGACAAGAGAAAAAGCTAAAAACGTGGTCCATTTCGGTCACCTATCGTCTGGCAGCACCATACTCTCAGGTCTTGTTTTAGTCTTTTTAGGGAATCCAGGTTATGAAGCTCTTCTGGTAACTTATTAAATTAAAAAGGAACATAGTATGACCTTGCATTCTTTCCCTATTTAGTATAAATCCTAGGAAGAATAAACTTTTCTGTTCGCCTCAAAATTCGTTCTTTTGTTAGGGGAATTTTAAAATCACTATTGAAGTAATGTTTTACCAAAATTACTTAACAGTGCAACCTCTCAGTAGTTAACACTCCCGCGGCATTCATTTTCTTATCTTTCTCTACTTCTTCGTACATTGTCCCATATGTGACATTACAAGCAATTTTATAGAGGATATTATCGATTTTTGATCTTTTATAGTTGGAGTTGGAATAATGACAGGCTTTTCATCTCTACAAGTGAAAGCTACGTGCTTGTTAGACCAATTAATCGCTCACCATTTACACCAGACACCACTGTGTAGATGAAAAACTTGTCTTTATTCTCCTTTGGCCCGAAGCCCATACATTTCACTGTCATCTTAACCGCGAATGGACGTCATTTTTGTTACGTGTGCTCGCGCACACCGGCGGCTGCTGGCTCGTGGAAAGAACGTGCGACACTTATTATAAACGCTAAATTCCTTCGTTCAGTATGCCTTTAAAGCCTCTTTGCTTCGCACTTCAAGCACGTCTGCCAACCGTTCTGTAGCCTAAGCTACACTGGCCGAGGTTGAGCAGTTTCGCGTGGCTCCTGGAGAGCCGTGCTGCGCATGCGCGAGGAGCAGTGACGGAGCGGGCACGACTGGTATGGCGCCTAAGTCAGTCCCCGATGCACGCGCCGCGCGCATGTACCCGCTCGAGATCATGGCTCGCGCTGTCCGGTTGTTCTGGGCGGCAGCTTCGTTGCTTGATACATAACAACATGGCGCACAGCAGGCCAAGCCAACGACGGGCATCTGGCATGCACCAGAGGAGGACTGAGGACTAATTTGGACCACCTGGGGATCTTTTGACGTGCAACCGAAAGCTTGGTTACACGGCGCCTCCTCCGCAATAAGAAGAGCGGAGAAGCTTAACTCATCGGATCCCGAAGTAGTCACGTAATGCGTATACCGTGTTTGTGTCATTGACGCAGCAGTAAGCATGATAATCAAGCTAATCTTAGACAACCAGGAAATCTAAGAATAACCAGCTGAACCATATGCTTACGCTACGTATATCCTGGCATAGCCGAGCTAAGCCACTGTGTTTTTTTGTTTTTTTTTTTCATGATATTTAAAGTCGTTTCAGTAATGGCAGTCTTTGGTCGCTTGAGTCGTCCCGACAACGGAAATGATGAGCCCTCTGGAAGGTAAAAGACGGTGGCGGAAGATAAATTGTCTTTGACGAATAGAATAACGGGTGTATATATAACCTTTGGAACCTTCCAAAACATCACCCTTGCCGAAGTTCCTAGACTTGAGATTGTTACGAAGTAGACCATGAAATTCAACAGATGGCTCTTTCCTAACCAATCGTCGCTGGGATAAATGTTTTATATACTCTTATGAATACCGCCGAAGCACAGGAGTCGAGGAGGTTTCTGGCTGTGACAGCCAGAAACCTCCTCGACTGAACCTTCCCAATGATGTATACTCTCCTCGCCGCATCAGTAATTCCCGTATTGGCCCTCAAATGATACGACTATGATGATGATGATGATGATGGTGATGATGATGATGATGATGTTCAAAATGTTCTCTAAAACCTCGCCATCCTCGCTGCGTTACACCGTATACACGGGGCGTGGTGGGTACGATTAGGTATGTCATTATGTAAAAGCAGCAGAGGCTCTGTTGGAGGAAGTGGCCCCCATATGTTTGCGTCTAGCTTCTTTTGGGGGGGATTATCAAAACCACGAACTCGATGCTCTGTTAAGGAAGTACCAGGACGCAGATTACATTTTTGTTCCTGTTTTTGTTTTTGCCTAGAAATGGCGTTTTAAGAAGCCTCCGATGGAGATTGTTCGCGAGTTTAAGACAGTCCGCAAAGTCCGCATGCATCTTGGAATCCGGGTGTGTATGTTCTATTCACAAAACACGGCATTAAAAGCGCTTTACGAGCGACCTAAGATCCAGATCGGCGGCGACTCAGGGAAGCTCGTACTGTATTCAGGCTACACTCCGTTTGACGTCACGATGGACCGCTGCGAGCCATCCGAGTCAATTCAGCGCCGTGAACGTATACCACGTGACTACGCGCTCCGCGCATCACTGCGTCCTTCTCGAAAGTCACGTGACACGCACACGGAATCGGATTGGCTCCGATTGCTTGTAGCGTCCGATGCGGTTCACGGACCATAGATGGCGACACGGATAAACCGCCGAGAATTCCTGCAGTCGGCAGTGCATCGCCCACCCAGAGAAGAGGCGCCAACATGGCGCAATAAGAAAGGAGCCAATGTTATGTACGAAAGTCACGCAACAAACTTGGCGGCCGAAAAAAGAGGAAGAAAGCGGCAGCCCCTGGAGACTGTGTTGAGATTCAGGTCGCGACAAGTCGTATATTTAAGACAAGGCGCGCCGAACGTTTTATTTTTTCAGATTAATCTGGTTTTAGACTAGAGCGAACTGGAGTAGCTCTAGCCATTGTGGCTCTCCGGCATTATATCGTTGTGACTTTGGAGCGCCTCAGGAATGAGCCTTGAACTAAGACGGTTCTTCCTGCGATTATCCGATCTTGATTGTGAAGCGAGTCACCTGGCTTGAGCGAATTATGCAACGGGAACAAGTTCTAGGGCAAACCGTAACTTCTTCGTTCGTATCAACGCTGGCTCACATTTCCCTAACAGCTCTGGGGACCAAAGCAATCATCATTGTTTATCACCGGAGCGTATAGTATGCTCATCCTCTCCCGCACATTTTATTCACAATGAGTACCAGGATATAAGTGTCCTAGTACCTGGACGTAGGTAAGCGTAGGCGTTGCTTCTACTCTGCTCTCCCAACAGAAACAGTCCTTTGTCAGTGCAAGTGATTTATGATCTGGTGAGGTCATCGGACTCCCATTTCACAGACCTTGTGATAAGCTTTGAAGGCGTTGGAGTGGCTTCATTACGTATTTCTGTAGGTCGATATACGCCGGGCTCTGCATTCGCTATATTTGCGAGGAACTTTCTTTGGCTGTGCAGTCTAAACTATGGGCCCAGGGACGCTCGCTTACCTTGATCGCCGATGAAAGCCGTGCGCGTGCACTCTTCACTTCTGAAGTGCCACCAGAGAAAGTTGTCCACAAGCACAGTGAACATCCGTGCTGACTAGTCAATAAGTAGTCATTTGAATGTCTCACGAATCACGAAAATATTTTCATCAATGATCACAGATATTGTCCATTCTTGCCGACCAAAAGTATGTGTGCCGTTCAACTTATTTCAAATAAAAATCGTGTCGGTGTGTTTCCGCCTAGCGAACAAAAGTGCGGAGTACTCTGGCGTTTTCTTCATTGTCTCCGATTTGCCTGAAAATTTGTTACGCAGCAATAAACATTACTGAAATAGAAACCCAAATATTGGGTAAAACAAAAACGTTTTCGCGAAGTTATGGAAATTACTATTTTGCTCCTTACCGTGTTTTTCGAAGTAAAAGTCTTTACTGGCAACAATGAAAAAGTGACGTTAGCGGAAGGCAGGAGCTCAGTTACGGAACTGCTCATGGACGCTGCTAGCACGAGCGGTAACCCCCCTCTATCACCACGGCGCGCCTCCCGCCGTTCGGCGCGCCGGAAGGCTGCTATGGTAACTAAAGTGTATTCTATAGAATCAATGCCCACAACGTACTTTATGAAACACACAGTTCAGAAACGAAAATCTAGGTGGCGCTTCAAACGACGGGAGGCCAAAGCGGGAGGCGAACTGAGGTGAGTGAGGGGGGGGGGGGGGGGGGGGGGGGGGCCTTCGCGGGAGTTCCAGGACTTAAGCTAATAATGTCGGCAGGGGTTCACTCTATAGTTTTTGTTCCC